TTTTATACAATATTTTTTAACACATTTTTAGTAAAAATTTTCTTAATAAAATTAGCCCCTTTAGTCAAATAAATCCCTAAGGTATGTTATTTTTAGAAAAAGGCCAAAATTTAATACTAATGACATGACAAATATTAAAACATAAATTTTATGTTATTTAATAATTAATTTTTTTACTTTATTAAAATATATAATACTATATAAATACTTATGTCACACTATTGTTTCCAAAATTTTTAGATTCCTCGTTTTCCTCCTATGTACCACTATTCTTATTCATATTCTTTTTTTTTTTTTCGGAAAGGAATTATTATTCGCATTCTTATTCTGGTAGTACTCTCACCTTTCCATTTTAGGTGTTTTGCTTTTTGACTTTATGGTATCTCCACGATCAATTGTATTTATGATTCTAGAATTAGGTAATAAAACAATATTTATCTCTAATAAAAAATTTATTATTTTTATAAATAGACTAAATAAAGATAAAGTTAAAATAATAACATTCATGTCGCACACAAATAAAGTAAGATATATATATATTTTTTAAACAAATTTATAAGGAATCGAATTCAAACCGTTGTTCAGAGGAAAGAAAATGCACTTTAAATGTAACTTAAATGTAACTTGAAGTCAATGGACGAAGGCCTAAGTGCAATAAAGTAAGATATTTTGCTTTTATTTTTCTTTATTTTTTTAATATATGAGTAAAATATTTATCAATACAAGCTTTTAATAAAAATTATTAATAAAAACTTAATTGAATTAGTATTTATTAATTTTAAAATTTTATTTTAGGGTTAAAATTAGAGTTTCACATCAATTAACTCTCTAATGTATAAAAAAGATCTTTAATAAAAATTAAGAGAAAAATATTTTAAAATTTCATGATTTCATTAAATTCTTATTGAAAAAGAATGAAATAATTTATTTTTTAAATGAGAATGGAACTAATTGAGTTTTTTTTTTATAATATTTTAATAAAATGATGTAATTTTAAAATATTTTTTATTTTTTTAAAACTTTTAATTTATATCTTTAAAATACAAATTAAAAAATTCATAAAAAATTATAAATTTTTTTATTTACACCATTTCTCCCATCCGCATACAGCATCGTTATCACATTACCCGCCTAATAATAATGGTGTTCGAATTTGAAATCGTTTCAAGGAGCCGCGTGGCACTGTAATTGCCGACAGCGGGTAAACGGCATGATGAAGGTTCCGTGGGTCTCAAATCATCACCTCCTTTGACGCTTTACAGTTACACGTGGAAAAGACGCGGTG